CGGTTGTCCTCCATGCGCATAACGAAGCCCGCGAAACACAGTCTCCGTTTGCGCACGGTGGCCTCGATGGTTTCCTCGCAGCCTGCCTGGATGAGGGCCTGGGCATAGGACAGGGGGCGGTCGGAGCGTTTCCGCTTGCTCCAGCCGATGCACCGTGTGAGGAACTGGCGGTGGGTCCCATTGAGCTTCGTGTAGTGCTCCGCTGTTAGGCTCCACGAGGCGCACCCATACAGGAGAGTCTCCACCACTTCAGCCTGGAGAAGCCGGATCTTGAGCTGGCGGTCGGCCCGTCGCCTGTCGTACATCGAAGCACTGTTCCGGCGGTAGCACTTCCACGCTCGGCAGCTGCGGCTCGTGATCTCCCGGTCGGCCTTCCCGTCCGCGGAGATGGTACGTCCGAGGTACACAAACCGATCTGTCTGCTTGTACGTCTGGCCGGCGGCGCTGACCGTGAACGGGTGTTCCTCGATCCCTTTTGGCAGCATGCACATGATCTCTGTCTTTGGCTCCGACACCATCAGTCCGAACAGGCCGGCCACGCGCACGATGACCGACATCATCTTCTCGAGACTCTCCGGCGAGCGCGAGACGATGGCCGCGTCGTCAGCGTAGAGCATGGCCCACAAGGCCTCCGCGTCCGTCACCACCGTCGTCTTCCTCCCCGCCACGACCAACAACACAAAGTAGCATAGTGCTGCGATGCGAACCAACAACGGGCCCAGCGACGTTGATGCCGACGTTGCAAAACCTTTTGGAGCCAACCGGTCGGCTCTTGGAGTATCTCTACGGGGATGGCCGGGCGGTAGTCATCCTACTCTGTGTGATCAGCTCAATGTGGGCGACAGCTGCCAGTACGCAAACCTGTGCGGCGAGTGCACAGCAGTAGTGCACGTCAACAACGCAAACAATCTGCGATTTTGATTGAGATGGGAGTGTATGAAGCAGTGAATATACCATGATACATAACCACGAATCATGCTCTCGTGTACTCACCATGGTGGGAGATTTGTACGTGTCCTGCTGCTGAAATTGGTTGTGTAGCTGCTGGATGGGCGTGTGATCTGATGTGATGTGGTCTGGTTATGTGACATGGGGCAGGGGTGGTCGGGGGGCGCCGTGATTTCCCTGCGGCGCAATTTTCTCCTGTACCTCTTTTAGACGGCATGTTGCTGAGACCCCTAGGAGCGGCGTTATCACAGCAGACACCAGTCTAGTCCAGGTGCATAGCAAGCGCGTGTGTGTGATCACGAGTGCGTGTGAAGCCACCTCTGACCTGTTCTGGTAGGTGAACACGGTTTTCCATCGCCGAGCTCCTCTACAAATCTGATGTAAGTGCTCGCAACATCATGGCTTTTGTGCTAGGTGGTGAGCAGGGAGGGCGGGGCAGGGAGGACCGAGTGCAGGATATCCTGTCCATGTGCCCGGCCACCATGGGCTCCGGCCTACAAGCTGCACTTAACGAGACGGAAGGGAGCGGTGTGTTGCGCACGAAAGCTGTGGATACAATTAAGGGTTTGCTGCAGCAAGTCAAGGAAAACATCAAGGTGAGCATCTCGTGCACTGCTGTGTCGGCTATTCCGGTGGTATGTACCTTTGCCTTTGCCAACTGCTTTGTGGACGTAGTATGCCTCGAACGAGCCACAGCCGTACCGACAGCGCCGCGCGGTTGCATGAAAAGCGCCGTCCCTGTGGTCAATAATAGCTTTGATGCGTGTGATGTTGTGGTTGACATGTTGTGTGTTAGCTCGACGTATTTGTATGTCAGTTCATTGCAGCAGTACCGCTGCCATTGTCGTCGGAAATTGGTTTGTACGGCGGTAGTCGTTCTTGCGTCTCCTCTCGGTAAGACTAAATTCATGTACGGGGATTTCAAACACGGCTCTGTTGGGCGATCCTACAATCCTACACTACTTGTACAGTTTACAGCATGGGACGCGCGTGAAACCACCGATATCGTTGCTGCTGCAACTGCAAGTTGGACTGTGGTAGATTGTCTTCGAAATAACCCGAGAATGTTGCGAAAGGTCCAAACATCATAATTGTGGTGTCAGTTCCTTCCAGTGTCCGTGCTGGTCCAACTGACGCGGACGCCTGCAGTGGTCACAATCTACAACTAACATACAGCGATTGATCGCTGCTACATGCACAGACGTGTAGATTCCAGAGTATGGCAACAATTCACCCTCCTCGTGGTTGCTGTCCCCGCCAACATCCAGAACCCGGACCGCAGTCTCTGCAGCGACCTCCAGCGAATGGCCGAGCTACGGCCCAAGGTGTTTCGCGAGCCCGAGCTGCTAGAGGCCGTGGGCGAGGTTCTGACGGGGAAAGGAGCCAAGACCGCGATTCAGTCGTCGGGAGGGCAGGAGGCCCCGTGCGTCGCGCAGGCGGCGGCGTGCGCCATGCTGACCGCTGCGCTAAAGGTAATAAAGTGATAAGTGTGCGTGTTTTTATTGTTAGCATCGACCGCGCTAACCGGCTGACCAATGAAAAGACGTATGTGTGTGTGTGTGCATCACAACAGGGCGTCAACGCCTTTTTGCAGTGTGGGAGGCATTGTCTCGCACAACGTCCTTTGGTGAGGTGCTGCTGTTGTTGTTTCCATTTCTTGGAAACTGAAACATGGCTTGTCTTCCATCAGCGTCCAGCACACCCAATGTCATCTCGCGTTCATTTGAGGCACTCAGTATTGGAAAGCCAAACGCACACGCGCCAACACAAGCACAACTTCACAATCGATGAAGGCTGCAATGCATTCTTCGGCATGCATCCACAACCGCACCTCGAGCCTCTTCCCACATTATGGACGCTGCGATGATGGTTACCTCCCAACATTTTCACACAACCACCAGGCGTTGCCGGAATGGCCCATCGCCCTGCTAGACATCTACATGCACGACGCGCTGGGAGGGAGGCAGTGGGCCTCGCACTCCGCCTGTAAGCCGTTTGTGGACAACGTCCGCACGGCGTGGGCACCCCCGACGCCGCCTCAGGCCAAGCCCGTCCGCCGGGGGTCGCCGGTCTCGTCTTCTGAATCGGGTGCTGCCGCCGCCGCCGGCAGCGGTGGTCCTGCGACAACCGCAGGCGCCGGTGCCAGACCTATGGTGGTCGGTGATGCCTCGGACGATGAGTCGTCGTCGGGAGAGGAAGAGGTGGTGGGCGAGGGAGGCGTTGTCGGCGAGGCGCCGGCGGCGGCAGCGGCACGGATAGCGGCGGCGACGCCGACGATAAGGCGAACGAGCAGCGGCGGAAGCGGCGGCGGCGGCGGCGGCGGCGGCGGCGACGAGGGTTCTTCGTCATCGTCCGACGGCGAGGAGTTCGTCGAGGAGGGAGGCCACGTCGGGGCGGTCTTGCCCACCGTTACGACCGGAGGAGGGGGGGGGCCCGGGGGGGGCGGGGGGGGGGGGTCCGGAGCGGCGGGAGGGGGCGGCGGGGCGGCGGCGGTGGCGGCGGCCGCTACTGCCGCGGCCCAGGCTCTCGCCAGGCGGAGGCACGAAGAGGCCAAGACGTTCTCGGGCTTCGAGAAGCTTGATCTCGAGGGAGAGGACGACCGCATCCCGGCGGTTTCAGATCGGTTTTCCAGGTGTGTGGGGATTTGTACTTATTTTTGTTGTGTTTTTGTGTGTCAGAGAGATTTTGAATGGTGCTCAAGATATTTATGAAAATGTGTGTTGCGGTGGACGGCTCGTGTTGCTGTGGGAAGTCGGAGGGCAGGGGGGTCGGCTGTGCTTGTTTGCAGGAAGCGGGGGTGGCCCCTTGCTCCATGCCCTGAATCGTGCCTTCTTGGTCGGAGGAAGCAGCGAAAACCTTGTTCAAAGCCGACGACCCAACGCCCGCCTCTTCTTACGTATCTCCCAAACACCTCTTCCACGCTCTTCGGGCCGAGCCCATCACCTCCTCTCCCTCTCCTTACCCACCCTATAGCCAGTAGTGGCTCTCGTCTAAGAGATGATTTGGGGACAAGCGAACTCCATGAATTTATCTTGACTAATCTCTCTTGACCCATACCCACTACTGCTGTCGTAACATGAGCAAGTTATCCCTTGCCTCTCGCCGCGTACAACGGCGCCCTCCTCTCCTTGTGGCCGCCTTGCCGTGGCGCAGGAGCAGGAAGGTGGCGGAGGAAGCCATCCTGTTGGCCCTGCACGAGCGATTCGGCAGCTCCTCTGGCGACGGGCTCGAGAGGGAACGAGAACGCCGGTTCAAGGGGTGGTCCCACTCAGAGAAGAAGACGGAGTGGCAGGTGTGCGTGTGTTCGTGTGTTTAGCCGCAGGGAGTGGGAGTTGAGATGGAGCTTGTGGTACCTGTTCTCGGGAGTGGGAAGGAAGGGAGGGAAGGGAGGGAAGGGAGGGGGGGTTCTGTCGTTTTGTTGTGTTTTTGTCGGAACACGTGGTAGCGCTGCTGCTGCTGCTGCTGCTGCTACTGCTGTTGCCTTTGCCCTGCTGCTGCCGGTCAACATGAGTGCCCAGGGTTGCCCGAATAACTACTCTATGTTTCACCATAGTTTGGCCTAGAATTGTCCGCTTTCAGCAAACGGTTTTGCCTACAATGGCTCGAGCGGGTCGAAGACCGTCTTGTTTCGTGCCCGGTTCGATGCTCGGCATTACCTCACGCGCAACATCCGGTTCCGCAGGTGGTTCTGGCAGCAACTGAGCTATCGACCTTGACGGCGGTGAGGGCTTTCGTCGCGCCGCACCTGAATCGCTGGCTCAATTCCCCCGCCTTCAAGGATATGGCCAGGTATATGTGTGTGAAGCACATCATCCGCCCCCCCCCCCCCC